GAAAAACTTTGTAGTCTTTTGTGATGCATCGCATCAAGGATTGGGATGCGTATTGATGCAAAAAGATAAGGTCATTGCATATGCCTCAAGACAACTTAAAGTGCATGAGAAGAATTATACTACGCATGACCTCGAATTGGGAGCAGTAGTATTCGCACTTAAGATATGGAAGCACTATCTTTACGGCACCAAATGCACCATTTTCACCGATCATAAGAGCTTTCAACATATATTTGATCAAAAGATGTTGAATATGAGGCAATGGAGGTGGGTTGAACTTCTCAACGATTATGATTGCAAAATTAAGTATCATCCGGGGAAAGCCAACGTGGTAGCGGACGCCTTAAGCCGAAAAAAGAAAGTGAAACCGTCGAGAGTTCAAGCCATGGGACTGTTGGTCCAAACGAATCTAAAAACGCAAATTCTTGAAGCTCAAGAAGAAGCGTTGAAACCAGAGAACCTAAAGAACGAAACCCTACATCGCCTAGAGAAGGAATTCGAAACTCGAGAAGATGGGGTGCGTTACTTTAGAGAAAAAGTTTGGATACCAAAGAATGACAGTCTCCGGTCAACAATCTTAGAGGAAGCACATCGTTCGAGATACTCAATTCATCCAGGAACCGATAAGATGTACAAGGAGCTAAGAGATTATTACTGGTGGCCAGGGATGAAGAAGGACGTTGTCTTGTACGTGAGTCAGTGTTTAACCTGTGCAAGAGTAAAAGCTGAACATCAGAAACCATCTGGTCTTTTTCAGCAACCAAAGATTCCCCAATGGAAATGGGATCAGATAACAATGGATTTCGTCACAAAGTTACCAAGAACGAGGAAGGGATACGACTCAATATGGGTCATAGTGGACCGACTTACGAAATCTGCCCATTTCTTGCCTATTCGAGAAGACTTTAGTACGGAAAGGTTGGTACAATTGTATATCAATAAGATTGTGTCGTGGCATGGAGTACCTGTTTCTATCATTTCAGATAGAGATAGCCGCTTTACTTCCATATTATGACAATCAGTCCAAAAAGTACTAGGCACGAGATTGGATTTGAGCACTTCCTATCATCCTCAGACGGATGGGCAAACAGAAAGGACAATCCAAACGCTGGAGGATATGTTGCGGGCCTGTGTAATAGACTTTGGGGGCAGTTGGGATACTCATCTGCCATTGGTTGAATTCTCCTACAATAACAGCTATCACACCAGCATCCAGTGCGCACCATATGAAGCTTTGTATGGGCGTAAATGTAGATCGCCACTCAGCTGGGTGGAAGTGGGTGACAGACAGTTGATTAAACTTGACATTATCCAGGAGACCATCAACAAAATCTCAATCATCCAAGAAAAACTTAAAGCTGCGAGAGACCGACAAAAGAGATACGCGGATAACCGAAGGAAACCGTTGGAATTTCAAGTGGGTGACAAAGTTCTATTGAAGGTATCTCCGTGGAAAGGGATTGTACGCTTCGGTAAGAAAGGGAAGCTTAGTCCAAGGTATGTTGGTCCATTTGTTATTCTCGAAAGAATCGGACCGATGGCTTACAAACTAAGTTTAACCCCAGAGCTGAGTGCCATCCATGATACATTTCATGTATCAAACCTTAAGAAGTTCTTGGCTGACGAAACAATGATCTTACCCTTGAAAGACATTCAAATTAACGAACGATTATGCTTCGTTGAGGAGCCGGTCGAAATCGTTGATAGTAAAGTCAAGCTGTTGAGGCGCAGCAAGATTCCAATTGTGAAAGTTCGTTGGAACTCCAGGCATGGACCGGAATATACGTGGGAAAGAGAAGATTTCATGGAAAGCCAGTATCCCCACTTATTCTCGAACAAGTCATGATTTGAATTTGACGCATAAATTTCGGGACGAAATTTTTCTGGCTTGGGGAGACTGTGACAATCCGTCATTTCGGGATTTCAGGTTAGTACCTTATTTTAGGATCTTTATTGAAAATTAAGTCTTTCTAGGATTTAACTATGATGATTAGAGAACGACTTGCTTAATTCCCAAGATTGGTTCAGAAGATCACGTTTCGGCGGGTAACTGACAAAGTTAGCTTGTGCAATGCCAAATAGTCTTGAAATGCTCCAAATAAAATAAGGTTGATATTTTAGGTTTTGTATTTTAAATATTTAAAATATCGAAAGTCTCATTTTATTGGCCAAATATGTTATTAAAGGGTAGAGTTTTAAAATCTTTTATTTAGTTGTTTTATTTAAATAATTTATAGAGGGGTTTTATTATTTAGAAAAATAATAATTTATAGCGCTTGGGCCTTTAGAGGCCAGCCCATTTCTTCTTTAAAAGCCTTCATATAAATACCCCTCTTTTTTTGAAAACTTTCATTTCCAACTCCCAGTTTGACCTGTTATCTCCCTCTAAACTCGACCACCTTCCAGCCGATTCTATCGTCTCGCAAGTCTTAAAGGATTCTGTTACTCTTAAGGATTGTTCAAGATTCTAAGAAAAGGTATGAGTTGAGCTCTCCTATTCTCTCAAAAATTCGAAAGTTTACATTCTCCTTCACATACTCGATTCTTTAGTAAATTTATAGGATTTAAAGAGGGGAGATTGTTCATCAAAGACCTGCAAATGTCTTCGGTAGGATGATAATCTGTGATTCATGTTCTTTAATCTCTAAGAAGGAAGGAGAGAGTCCTTGCATGTAAAATCTGATCATATTTTAAGTATGGGAAGATCTTGCATGCATCCTTAATCAGTTTTATTATCTTTAAAACTCGATGAAATTGGAAAATATTTTTCTGGAGTTTGTTCGATGATGATGACTCAAGCCGGAGTTTAAATTCTTGAAAATGATGAGCTTGAGACCCCTCCCCATCATTGCTGTCATTCTTGGTGCATGCAATCTGTTTTGGGGGCGTGCGTCTCAAGGTGCTAAAGTATTTAAGAAGAGTCTCAAACCCACTCAAAAATTCTTGATTTTGGAAATTGGCGGCTGTCATCATTATTTTGGATGACTTAAGATGATGTCATTAGGTGGATTTTGGAAGGTTCCTTTTGAAAAGTAAATATTAAAATATCGGCTTTTATTTTATAAAAATCTTGATGGCATTGCATTAAAAGCAACTTTGTTTTACCTTGGGCAAGAAACCTTTAAGTAATTTAGCGTTGGATATTGGTCTGTTCAGGAAGTTCGGGCGAGCCTAGAAGGCTTCTAAGGGCAACCTCTGGATATTCATCAAGTTAGTGAGTTCTCACGGCCCCACTTTTACTGCTTTTGATTATTTTATGGGGGAAAAGCATGAAATTGAGCAAACTTTGCATGTCTATTTATGTAAAACCTTTGGACTAAGGAACTGCTTAGTCAAGTTTTTGTTTGCAATCTTTGGACTAAGGAACTACTTTGTCGATGCTTTGCTCAAAACCTTCGGGCTAAGGAACTGCTTAGTCGATGCTTTGCTTGAAACCTCTTGACTAAGGAACTGCTTAGTCGGGTTTTCCTAAGCTATATTTGTTA